AAGTCAAATTACCCAAATATTTGGTAACCTTTTATGGTACCTACAATGCACCAATACCTCCTTCTGACCCTTTCCCTCCAAGAGGAATCTAGTGGAATGCAATGTCCCTTCTTAATATTGTAGGTATTTTCAGGTACCCATACGTGGCCATTTTAAATCTTACTTTATTAAAAGAGTAAAAAGTTGTGGTTTAAAAATGGAATAGAAGCTATGCTAGAGACGCAAACGGCATTTGGCTTCTATTTTTCTTATAAATAAAAGGATAAATTGTGCTAACTCAAAAGAATAAACACATTTATCATCCAGGTTTTCTAATAGGGAATTGGTTAAATAAAATGTTTTATTTACAGAAACAGAAAGGCCATTCCTTGACATTTTCAGATACTTCCAGCCAAATTAACATAGGTTCAGTGACTTCATTATCAAGCCACAAAATCATAATGTTTTTTTTTTTTTTTTAATTCACCAGGGAGTTCAAGACATTAAGGTTGCCTACCATATGGACAAAAAACCTGCTTACCTTCTCTCTTGGGTAATAATTAAACTGATTAGGAATTCTGATATTAAGGAGGGCACAGGTTGTGATGAGCACTGGGTGTTATACGCAACTAATGAATCATTGAACACTACATCAAAAACTAATGATGTACTATATGCTGGCTAACTGAACATAATAATAAGATAATGTAATATAAGAAAAAGAAATTCTGATAAATTAACCTAAGGATATTTAACCCTGTTCTACTCATCTAATCCTCCCAGAAAATGATTTCCTTCCCTTCATTGGTTTTATACCTTAAAAGAAACTTACCAAATTGCAGATATACAACTAATACCTGCAGACAGAAATGAAGGTCATTTTTAGGTGAAACCGGTCCCAAATGAAAACACAGCCTTATGGTCAGATACCTATTACACAGTCTTTACCCATAGTGAGAAGGTAGGTCATTCCTCATTTCTTATTTATTCCCTGGCATAATCAGACCACACCACGAAATCATGTGAGATGCTTCAGAGCTCCTATCAGGACATGAAACCCAAGCCAACGAGCAGTACAATAACCATTGTCAACAGGCAAACTCCAACAAAGTCTGGATTTGGATTTGGTTTTATGTTAAGGGAAGAAGATTCGCTCTGGTTTTTAATAATTCATAAGAAACAGAAATCACAAAGTATTGAGTCAGCATCCACCTACAAAGAGTCCAAAAAAGCCAAAGGTCTCCCCCACTCACCCTCTTGTTCCACCGACATTTTGAAAATAAAGGGAGAAAACAGAAATGAAAGAGTGCGAAGGAACACAGATATGATTTAAATAATTTCAAATCCTTATTAAACATCACTGAGATTGCATTTGATCCATCAGACTGACTTTCAGTTCTCACCACTAAGACCTTGCAAAGAAACTGGACATGCATGGTTTTGCCTTCCAGGGTTGACCTAGAACTATAAGGGTGAGGTGTATATGAATGTGGGTGTGCTTTAAGTCCATTTTATAAACACTGACACAGGACAATTCTTATCATTGGTAATAGTCTTTTGAGTCCAATCATGCAGAATAACAGGCATGTGCAAGTTAGGTCTTGTTGCAAGATAAACATGGCAAGGTGAACAGTTTAATGCTAGACAAGGGTTGGGAGATTTGTTTTCATTAGAATATACTGGCCATTGGTCCCACATAATCAAAAGTTAGATATACAGGAGTCCACATACAAACAGAGGCCTTCCATTTCAGCTTGACTGACCAAGGAAATGGGTCAGAGTGAACCATTTCAGACAAAGAAAGAACTGTCTAAGTTCTGCCAAAACAAATAACAAAATCTTATATTTTAGTCACATGGAAAATGACTAGTGTAATTATTTACATTGTAACTTGTTTATTGTTTTTACAGAGAGGAGTATCCCTGGCTTGGTTTAATTTCATCTGTAGAAAATGTAGGACCCACATTTAAAATGTTGGGGGGGAGCTTGGGGTGGGGAGTGGGGTCCCTCTTTGGACCCAAAGTGATCGGGATCAAAGATTGCTGGGACAGCATTATTCCTTTCTCTGGGCTATACAAGGTCAATTTTTCAGCAAAGCTGGCTGACAACATTCTTTACAGAGCATAACGTTTTTAAGATTTCGATTGTCATACATTAAGAGAATTAAACAGAAGTAGACTTTGTAGAATTTAGATTTTGCAATGACTATTTAAAATTTAAAAGTCAGTCTTGCTCATTTTCCCCCTGGCAGGTCATAAAAGGACTGATGGATTCTCATCTCTTCTAGTCCATGTATTCCCTTTGTCAGGGCCTGTTTTATGACTTACCAGTCAGCTGCTATCAGTATCCTTAAGTAATATTTTCTGATCATGGTAGCAGATTGAACAAAAACTATTGCCTCGGTCTTCGATTAAACAGCTTACTCCACTTGGAGGGAACTGGCCAGGACCAGGTCCACCTCAAGTATACATTCCTACAAAGCTCAGTCATCAGATTCTTGAAGATGTGCAAGATTGTTAGCGGTTCTTATTCCACGAGAAGAAATTTGGTTGTAAGGCCAATGTATCTCTTTTTAAAAGTGAACACACTGACCGAAAAACAAATCAATATGTCAAAGTGGTGGTGGTTTTGTCAAGCTCTCCCAACAATTTAATTCCTCCTGCATGTGGGCACAGAGCCATCTCTCCCGCAAAATACTACAGAACATTTCATTAAGGATCACTGAGAAACCATCAGCCCTATAGAAGTGAGCAAAGGTTAGGCCTCTCAGACTGCCAACCTCACATTCCTAAACGAATCCCAACCACAGGCAGGACCTTCCTTCTTCCAGGAATATAGTTCCAGGTGACTTGACACTTCCAAGTCTGAAAAGCAAGAAAGTCCTTTGGAATTAACAGGTGAGTATATAGGAAATAGTTGTCTTTTCAAGAAAAGACTCACTGCAGAACCTAATACATTCTGAGAATTTGATAATAACAGAATCACTTCCTGAAGAGATTATAATAAAGTGGACCCAAGATGGTGAAGGGCTGGTGAGCTTTTGAAATGACGATCCTCTTTGTTGTCTTATTACCTACTGGCTTTGATAACCTAGTAAAATTCATCCTATAAGCAGGCAAGAAGCCAAACTCTTTGCTTTATTTGTACATGAGATTTCAATCCGAGGGATTTATTCCATTTTTTCTTGTCCATAAGGGGGATCGGGCTAAAGGTAACCAGCTCCCCAGAGCCACACAACAGGAGAGATCAGACTAGCAGAGTTTGGGGAAGGTAGCAATAGTAGGGGAGCATTGCCTGGTTCTTGCTTGGTTTAATCTGAGTGAAAAGAAATCACCGTTTCTACGCACATGGGAGACAGTCTAAGTGTCAAGCACTTCTAAGACGCGGGCTGAAGACTTCCTTCTGGCTTTTGCTGTCATTTTCTGGCTGATGAAATTACCCTTGCGACCTACTTTCTTTCAAACAGCTACCTATTCCCTGCACTTAAGCACTTGTGCAAGAAAGTCAGGCATAGAAAGGACACAGGTACAGCAAGAGAAAAACACAGATAAGGAGTGCAGAGAAGGTTTTTCTAAAAAGTGGGGGGCGGGAAGTGGGACAGAAAGAGAAATGAGAGAGCCCATGTGAATGCGGAGGTATTTTAAAAATCAGGTCGTCTGCGATAGTAACCCCAAAAATGGCAGCAAGAGAAAGAAGCTGGGCCACTTCATTCCAGGGGACAAGCTGCACACGCTACTGTGTTGTTTTCTCCCCACTTTAAACAAATGACCTCTGTGAAGCAGTCCCATAAATGGCAGCATTGCTCACATGGTGATGGTGGGGGTTGGCTCTATTGCTTGAAAGAGACAAAGCTTCCCTATTGTTGTATTTAAGGCAGTTGTCAGAGCGCGGCTTTCTTGTTTGCTCTATTTTTGAAGGGATTCCATTTGCCAGTCATATCCCACTCATCAACCGTCCGTTTCATGCATTTCACTTCTTCTTCAGGTGAGGTACCACCATGTTGGCGAGCACCAAAATGGTCAGAGTGCAAATAGCTGTGATGGGCACTTCACCAAAGTGAATAAGAAGGGAAGCCTCCACCTGGTCCCTGTTATTGCTGAGAAGTCACCCTGGGAGTGCCTTGTATATAACCAAGATGTTTCACAGTGCCTTCTTAAGTGCTCTAGAGAGCACTTTCATTTGATTTGAGCTAAATTCAGGTGATTTTGCTAGACATTGACACAAAATGCTTCATGGCTTTTAAGACAAACTCATATTGCTAAAGCTATTAGGCAGCAGTAACTTATGGGGAGAGTTATTGCTGTCACATCAACTGCAGTACAAAACTCAGATTATCAGCCCTTCTTGAATTGTTTGAATTTATGAAAATAAATAAACATGAAACATCAGCCATAGTCAGGAGTCAGGGAAACCCCTGAGGAATAGTTATGTCTGCGGAAATGTTTTCCAATGCTGACCTGAGGATCACCCCGTGTTTTGGGTTTGTTTGTTTTTAAGAAATTAATAGATATATTTTTTTTATTCCAGAAGAGGAAAGTAATTATTTCTTAAAACCGTGCAGGGTATAAACCTGGGAAGTAGCACACTTATGGAAAACACAACCCACAATCTGCAAATAGTCTATGTACGTTCATTTCCTGTTAAAGACATCATCTGGAGGCAATTCCATTCTGTTCCAGGGAGGGATTTTTACCATCAGATATGGACGCGGGAACCCTGCCTCACCACCTGCTACGCCCTTTCCAGTTGTGACACATAATTTGTAAATGACAAATGGGGTTTACTCTCTAAAATATGGATGTCGGTGTCTCCTAGTATCTGGGTAATAATCTCCTTGGGGTCTTCCTCTGCACTGCAGTGCTACACTCAAGTCTCTCCTACCTGCTTGCTGTCAAAGAAAAGACCATCAGCTTTTCCTCCCATCTTCCTTCTAAAGGCCAAACCATTCAGTACCTGGAAACTGTCACCCTCTCCCGCCCCCACGCTGTACATAAGCATCACATATGTTCTTTCTACAAATCGGTATACAGGTGCCATTTAATCAGTTCAAATTTGGAAGCTACATCTTCAAGGGTCCGAGAGAGCTCACTCCCCCCATATTTTCCCCCTTTACATGTTTTCTTATAAGACATACAGCTTAATCAATTAACAAACTAAATAGCTTATATACTGGCAATATATTACAGATGGGTTTATGTCAGAGTAATAGATCACATGAAATGGACCATGTGGTACCCCAGTGCATGATGTCTTGGTAGAGCCCTGAGGACACTGACAGTAGCGTCTCTAAGTAAGTAGTGCTGTATGAATACAGACACATGCGGATCTGTATCTACATCCATCTGACTAGGCCAAAAGGAGCAGGTAGATGCAAGATAGAGACACACATGCTGGATGGGGCCACTGCACACCTTGTCATGCCATTTGAAAGGGCAGTTACAGGTTGCTGGTTTTGCAGCCATTAAAATTACACTTTATGGAAAAGGCTTTTCTAATTGTGTTTGAGTTGCTTTCTGTAGTAAGCATCGTTGGAGGAAGACCAAAGCAAGAGCAACTAGAAGTTAAATATACATTTAGCTTAGCTGCAATACAGAACTCTGGAGAAGAAGCAGGCTGAAAGATTGGTTTCAATTTTAGGCTCGGATTCTCTCCCTTGTCATTTTCTTAGAGTTGCGTGTCTGCGTATGTGTGTGTGCGTGCGTGTCTGTCTACGTGTGTGTGTGTGTGTGTGTGTGTGTGTGTGTGTGTGTGTGTGTTCCATCACATCATCTCCTGAAGAACGCTGGGTTTCGCAGGCAGGCGGCTAGTCACCTGCAACAACCCAGGGGTCCTGCTGAGGCTTCCAGGCTGCTGTCAGTGTCAGATGCCAGGGTCTGGTCGGTGGACATGGAGGAGATGTCATTGACAGACGAAGATGGAGGGAGACTCTCACTGCTGTTCACTGCTGCACCTGTGCTAAGAAAATGAAGACCAACATGACTAAATCTGGAACTCGACTCAACTTCATGTCGCTCAGGTTACAGGCATGGGCAAATACAGGAGGCAATGTTTAGTCCATCGTTCATTCAACAAGCCTTCTTAGAACAACTACTCCAGGGCACTATGTTAGATGGTGAAAATCGAAACATAAAAACGCAGAGTCCCTAGTCACAAGTTATTCTACCTTGGAAACCACCTGTAATGCTCTTAAGAGAAAACAAAAACAAACAAACAAAAATACGCCACTAAAAACTCCAGTCACCCTTCCCACCTCCAATATTGTCATATCGTTGGCCTGTGTGAGGCCACGGCATTTGCATTTTTTGAAAGCTCGTAGACCCTGTGTAGTCAAAGGTTGAAGAGCACCGTCCTATTGAGTAGGAAGATGAGCAAGACCTTTTAATGTAATGATCTGAACCTGGATGTTTTTAATGCAGGGCTTTTTAAAACAAACACATGTAAGGGTCCTATTCCAAAAATAAGGGCTGAGCAGAAATCAGAATTACTTGGAGACTACAGCTCTTGAAAAATGAATGCAAGTTAAGTAAATATTATTATAGTCATTAATGTGATATCAAACTTAAAATCCATACAGAAAAGCTAAGTAGGACTTTCAGTGAAAGTTACCATAGACCAAATACCAAATAATAAAAATAATAGAAGAAGCCAAAGCACTTTTTTTTTAAAAGTAGCCTCCACGCTAGAGCACATTTTTTTTTTAAGATTTTATTTACTTATTTGACAGAGAGATAGAGAGCACAAGTAGGCAGAGAGGCAGGCAGAGGGAGAGGGAGAAGCAGGCTCTCTGCTGCGCAAGGAGCCCGATGCGGGGCTCCATCCCAGATCATGACCTGAGCCGAAGGCAGCTGTTTAACCGACTGAGCCACCCAGGCGCCCCTAGAGCACACTTTTTGATTGTGTGTTTACTTTCTAGCAGGCTTGCTTACCTGCCAAACTACAAACAAAAATTCTGAATTATTAAATTAATTTGAAAAAATATTTATCTGCTCTGTGGGAATATAAAGATTTTGAATCTCTGAGAAGAAACTTGCTTATGGTAATCACTCATTAACACTTGCTGAATTACAATATCTTTGAGAACTACAAAGGACAGATAAGTCAGAGGCACTGTAAAATATAATTAACCATAACAGCCTGGAAACAGTTTACTTTTTCTCTTTATATATTCTTTATATTTAAGCAATGTAGGTGGTAAAATGCATGCTTTGTGAAATAGTTTGCTATTAAAAAATATTTGTAGTGTAAATCTTCTAATGAAATCAGAGATGAAGAATTTTCACTAAAATGTTATCTCATTTGAGCAAATATAGTGTGCAAGGTACATCTGGTGAAAAATAACAAATCCAAAATAAGTTATAGTAGTGTTATCACAAAGATTTAATAAATCAGAAAAAAATCTATAAAGAACTTATATGACTCAACACCCCAAAAAACAAACAATCTGATTAAAAATATGGGCAGAGGACCTGAATAGACATTTTTCCAAAGAAGACATACAGAGGGCCAACAGACCCATGAAAAGATGCTCCACATCACACATCATCAGGGAAATGCAAATCAAAACCACAAAGACATATCACCCGACACTTGTCAGATTGGCCAGCATAAATAAAAAAAAAAAGAAAAGAAAAGAAAGAAAGAACAGGTGTTGATGGGAATGTGGAGAAAAATGAACCCTCACATACTGTTGATGGGAATGTACACTGGTACAGCCACTGTGGAAAACAGTATGGAGTTTTCTCAAAAAATTAAAAAGAGAAATACCATATAATCCAATGATTCCATTACTGGGTATTTACCCAAAGGAAACAACACTAATTTGAAAAGATATATGCACCCCTATGTTTATTACAATATTATTTACAGTAGTCAAGATATGAAAGCAACCTATGCATCCATTGATAGACAAATGGATAAGGAAGATGTGGTATTTTTATATACATATATATATATGTATAAATATGGTAAGGTATGGAAGTATGAGGTATTTATATAAATTATATATAGCATATATAATATATAGTAGGCATATATATTATATATATATATAAATATGGTATGGTATGGAAGATATGGTATTTATATATATAAAACATATAAAATGGAATATTACACAGCCATTAAAAAGGATGAGATTGTGCCATTTGCAATAATATGGATGGACTTAGAGGGTATTATGCTAAGTGAAATAAGGCAGACTGAGAAAGAAAAATACCATATGATTTCACTCATATGTGGAATTGAAAAAAAAAAACAAGAACATAAACAAATAAAAAGCAAAATCAGACCTATAAACACAGAGAACAAACTGATGCTTGCCAGAAGGCAGAAGAGGGGGAGGATGAGCAAAATGAGTAAAGGAGAGCAGGAGATACAGGCTTCTAGTTATGAAATGAGTAAGTCACAAGAATAAAAGGCACAGCATAGGGAATATACTCAATAATATCGTAATAATGTAAGGTGACAGGGCAACAACACGGTGGTGAACACAGCGTAAAGTACAGAGAAGTGGACTCACTATATTGTACACCTGAAATTAATGTAACATTGTGTGTCAACTCTACTCAAGTTTAAAGAGAAAAATTAAAGATCTATGAAGTGGAAAGGTTAAAATAATCTTCTTTGCTCGTGGGGTAGACATCTCTTCTCTGTGGAAAAAACGTGATTAAAATGTGACAATATGTGGAGAGGACCCATACATATAAGCTAAGAAAGATCATATGTGTTTCATAAGTATTTTAAAATTTTATTTGTTGATTATAAACATATTTATGTGAATTATGGGGAACATGAAAGAATATTGAAAAAAAGATAATAGGCACTGATCCTCAAATAAATAATAACTGTTAAACTTTGGGTATATTTCTCGCTAGTGTTTTTCTATGAAGTTTTTCTAAATGTGATCATTGAATATATATGCTTTTGTATACTGTTATTTTTATATGCAAAAAAAGCTTATGCATTTTTCATGTTATTTAAACACTTACAAGTATGAATATCTCCTAATCTTAAATGTCTCTAGACTTTTAAAGCTTTTTGTTATCGTCTTCCTGTAAATAGTCTCATTATCAGAATAATGTGTAACGTAAAGTTCCCTGGCTTCAATTTATTCCAACTTTACTTAATTGTATGTATGTACAATGTAGGTGTGCAGAGCTAGTTCCTTTCTTCTGACATATACTAGTAAATTTCATATACTAGCAGATAACCTTTGACTTCCTTACATAGCCCAAGTGCCCAGCTCTGTCCTCCCCACCACAATTTGGATTAAATTATACCAATACCAACATCCTTATGTGTTTTCATAAATTTTGGTCAATAATAATTTAGCATCACTGTGATTGGCTGCTCAGAATCTTCAATTTTCCACATCCTTATTAAAGGGTGGAGGTTAAAACTAGACACAGAGCTCTAATAAAGCCTCAAACAATTGTGGGCTAACAGAGTGAGATGGCTTTGTTCATATACCCCTTCATCTGTTGAATGACATATCCCTTCTTCTGCATGACTTTAAAACTATGACACCATCATTTAGATTTAGACTTAAAATATGAAATATTGCCTATATACCTTCTTGTAACAGCTTTATTGAGATGTAATTCACAAATTTAATTTGTATAATTCAATCGTTTTTAGGATATTCACAAAGTTGTGCAACCATCATCACAATCAATTTTGTGATATTTTCATCACCCCAACAGTATTCTATGTTTTACTTATTCATCAGCCACAGGCAAGGACTAACCCACTTTCTGTTCTATGAAGCTGCCTCTTCTGGACATATTATATAAATGGAATCATATGTAATCTTTTGTGACTGGCTCCTTTCACACAGCATAATGTTTTCAGAGTTCATTCATACTGTACCCTGTAGCAATACTTTATTCCTTTTTACTCCTGAATAATATTCCATTAGATGGGTGTATCACTTTTGTTTACCTATTTATTAGTTGATGGCCATCTGATAGACCTTTAGGCTGTTCCTATTTTTGGCTATTATGAATAATGTTGTTATGAACTTTCATGTACAAGTTTTTATTTCACTTGGGTAAATACCTAAAGAGTGGAGCTGACAGATCATAGAGTAGCTCTACATTTAACATCTGAGGAGTTAACAAACTGTTTTTCACAGTGGCTACCCGAGCTCACACTCCCACCAGCACCATATGAGGGCCCCAGTTTTCTCCTCTCCTCTCCAGTTCTCATTATTTTTTATTGTAGCTCTCCGAGTGTATGTTAAATGCTATTTCATTGTGGTTTGATCTGTATTTGCCTAATGGCTAATGGTGTTGGATGTATTTTCATGTGCTTGTTGGCCATATCTTCTTTGGGAAATGTCAATCCAGATCCTGCGGCCATTTTTTAATTGTGTTATTTTCTTTTTATTATTGAATTGTAAGAGTTCTTTATGTATTCAGGATAAAAGTCTCTTATTATATAAGATTTGCAAATGTTTTCCTCCTATCCTACGGACTGTCTTTTCACTTTCTTGATGTTGTCTTTTGAAGTGCATGTATTTTTAATTTTGTTGAAGTTGAATTTACCTATTTTTTCCTTTTGCCACTGGGGTTTTAGTGTCATATCTAAGAAACCATTTCCTAAGCCAAGATTATGAAAATTTACTCCTACGTTTTCCTATAAGTGTTTTAAAATTTTAGCTTAAGTCTATAATCTATTTTAAAATTTTACACTTAAGTCTATAATCTATTTTGAATCCATTCTTACGTACTATATGAGGTAGGAGTCCACCTTCATTCTTTTGCATGTGGATATCTAGCTGTCCTAGCACCGTTCACTGAAAAGACAATTCTTTGCCCAAGGAGTTGTCTTGAAATCCTTGCTACCAATCAATAGACCATAAACATAAGGGTTTATTTCTGGACTCTCAATTTTATTTCATTGATCTATATGTACAAGTGAATACCACACTGTTGTGAGCATTGCAGCTTT